TTCAGGTTCTCCCTCTGTCGATCTACCCTGAGCTGAAATCAGTGTGTTGCAGGCTTGTCTGGAACTCCCAGTATTCCTGCTGCCTCAGCGGCCTGACATTGCAGGTATTTTCACCCATTCCTTGCTCAGCCAGTGAGTTTTTAATAACACCAGGATGAAACCACATCTGGTGGTGTGTCTTGCAATGCTATCACTCTGGAAGGCTGAGGCAGGAACATCATAAATTCAAGGACAGACTCACCAACTTAGCAACTTATTGAGAAACTCCTCAAAAAAGGAAGACTTTTGGGGCTGGGATTTAGCTCAGCAGCATAAGTGCTTGCCTTGCAAGCAGGCAGTCATGAGTTCGATCCCTGGTACCGATAAAAACAAAAAAAGTCCAAAAGAAAGACTTTTAAAAGTGGAATGTAATGGAGATAAATGCAAAAGCTCTGTATTCAATCTCTAGAAACTGAATGGAAAACCTAAACCATAACCAAAACAAAACCTTGGAAAATAGAAGGGAAGGCAACAATGTTTTATCCTGGCCTGGTCTTCTGGAGGGCAGTGTGCCCCAAGTAGCTTTATCCTTCACATCTTTCTTGGGATTTGACCCCAATCATCAATTTCCATGAGTGATAAGAGAAAAAGAGAAAATGCTTTGGGGATACCAATCCTCAGTCACCCAGCAGAAGGCATTCGGAGTGATCTTCTGAAGTGCATGCTGACCACAGTTACAGTTAAAAAGCAGTGACTACCAATATTGTTAATTGGATTTTCAGTCCTACTCATTGTGAAAGAAACTGCAGATTGGGAAGGTGGTAGATGGCTTAACTAGATGGATTCTTTCTACAAAGTCTAAAGATCAAAGTCAAATATTTTATTCCATGAGTATGCAAAATTGTTTGCCAATTGCCAACTCAGAATAATGTACACCTGTAATCCCAGCCCTCTGACAGCGTGAAGAAGGATGATGAAGGGTTTAAACCTAGCATGGGAAACTCAGAAAACTGCTGAGACTATGTCTTAAAATGTTTAAAAACAAAATTTTACAAATGTATGAAATTATTGATCATTAAGTAATCCTAGAAATCACTTTTCAAGATACATTAACCACTCTTATTCTACAATTATTTTTATTTTCCATAGACTTAAAAGAGTATCTTTTATATGGTCCTTATTATTATTTCAAAAAAATAGCAATCCCTTGATCCACTTCTGATTCTAAATATAAATTTAGGAGAGGAAGAAAAGCAATGATCACATTCTCTTCACACTGAGCTACACAAATCCTAAGAAAGTATATTCAGTAGCATATCTGCAGTCATCTCTGTAAAATATTCAAAAAATTGAAACAATGCAAACCTGGCAGCACATCAATGTATACATGATGGTAAACCTTATGCTAGGTGTGCTGACTAAAGTACATTTGCAATAAAAACTCACATATGTTTTTATTCTGAATTCACAGGTGATATTTGACTTTGTATTTTTAAACTTTTTAATTTTTCTCTTCTTTTCTTTCTTTCTTTCTTTTACTCTTTCATTCTTTTTTTGAGATTGGGTTCTTTTATACAGTTGAAGCTGGCCTTGATCTTCCCTTTTAGCCCCAGATGACCTCAAAATTACAACAATCCCCCTGCCTCAACCTCTGAGAACTAAAATGACAGGTGTGTACCAACATCACAGACTGTGTTCTCCTTTTAAAATTTTCTCCAAACAAACTTACTCAGAGTTATGTGATATTCTTATATTTTCTCAGATTGAATATACAAAATCAAATCAGAAACCACAGAAAATACAGTTTTAAAATCCTCACCAACATATAACACAATGTAACATAATATAGCATAGCACACTATACCTTAATAAAACAAAACGAAAAGGAACCACCTAACTCTGCTTTAAACAACTGCTTCCAAAGATACTTTAAGAATTTCTAGTTAGCCATAAACTAGTAAAATAATCCATTAATTTCTAGTTAGCCATAAACTAGTAATATAATCCATTAATTTCACATTTAAGTTGTTTTTCTTTAAAATGAAAGACTGCATCCACTCAAGCACAGGTATAAGATTGACTGTGGCAGCTTGCTTTCAAGGGTTGAGCCAGAAACAGAAGAAATGGACATTGGCAGATGGGTGAGGGGTGCATGAACAAGTGACAGCTGGTTTTGTTCACCTACCCCCAATGGCATGCGGTGGCAGCACACTGGGAGCCCAGGATGGAGACACTACTTGAAGGAAACCAACCAGAGAGCATTTTGCCTGATCAGCCTCAGGACCATCACCTCTAGGAAAGGCAAACTACCCAGGAGGGACACAAAGCCCATGGTCTGTTTGGGAATGGAGGACTGGAAGTGATATCAGTGGCTATGAGACAAGTTCCCCAGGAGTGATGTGCATGTGTCCTTCCTCAGCAGGGGTTGATGATGTCCTTGGCCTTGGAAAGCCTCGCCTTGCAATCACCACCTGGCCTCCCCTCCACAGGATGTCAGAGTATGGCGCAAGAGTGTGTGGCTGAGTTAAATATCTAAGGATGAATAAGTAATCACTCATAGGCCCATGAGAGTAAAACTTCTTAGGAATCTTCATCCCCTGGACAGGAGGAGGTTATAACATGAAACATTCACATACTTCAAAGAAAATTATTATGATTATTCTGGGAACATCTCCATACTCCCTAATGGATTTGAAATGAAACTAACATAAGCCAAGGAAAGAAACTCATCCTAAAATTTGACAGATCTCTAAATGAAGCCTAATTCTCAATGAAAAAACTTTTTGGATGGAAATGTGCACTTGGTTCCCAGCCTGCCACTTCTGAAGCATCTACATGTTTGTTGTATGAAATATTTCAAAGTGAAGAAAAGTATAAAATCACATTCTGTTTTCTAGCTTTTCACTTTCGATTTCTAAGGAACACAAATTTGTTCCACAACAAAAAGAAAGGAGGCATCAGAGAGGGCAGCCTAACTATGGACCCCAGCACATGACACAACTTCCTTGGCAACAGGTCTAAACAGAACTTTGAAGGTTCTGGTCATCAGGCAACTTTGTCTGGTGGCAGTTGACCTTCACCAGCACTTGGCTCATGAGAGTAACCAGTGAATATGCTGTGCTGCTTTCTGAGGCTTTGAAGCCCCAGCCTCTTGACCCTGCATGGGAAAACCACATGCGAATGAGTGAAAGGATGATTCACTGTGCCAAGATGTTTCAGGAAGCTCAACGGTAACTGCCTAAAATCAAGGGCAGCACAGGGCAAGGCCCAAGATCCCCAACTCCCAAGACACCAGAAACAAGAGGGAGCCCAGGACAGGTGTCCCTAGGGTCAGCCACCAGCCACTCAGAGACACCAACTAGAGGACAGCACATTAAGGCATGGCCACCTCTGTGAATTCTTCTAAACAATTCCCATCCTAAATCATCAGTGTAAGGGCTCTAAGGACAGGCAGTGAGGGCAGATGCTCTGGGACAGGGGCAGGTCTTGGGAAGTGTGAGCCTGTGCTCCTGTCATGTTCCAACCCTGAACTGGGCTGGCAGGAGGAGAAGGGCAGCATCATGCTTATCCAGAGCCTCCAGAGTCATCTCCTGTCCCCCTGGGTAGAAGTCTGGGAAAGAGCTGTGAGTCTTTGCGGAACATAAGGTTATCTGGGTTCACAAAGTGAAACCTGTGGTGTCTCAGAGTCTCAGGCTTCCTGTTGGCTACTGGGCACTGCCCCAACCATGTTGCACACAGGAAATTGACATGAAGGTGGACCCTGGGCTCTGTGTGCCACATCCCTGCTCCAGAGATGGGACCAACAATAACAGGAGGTATTGGCTCCAGTGCAGAGTATGTGAGCAGAAGGGAATGTATGGAGGCCCACACACGACTAAGAGGAACTTTGGGTCTGATTAACCCTTCCAATGCCTCTATCCAGGACTTGTCAAACACTGGGCCCATGGTCTTGCTCCAAAGGAATCTGGACTACAAGTGCTCAACTACCATATCCTCTCTACTAAGACTCTACCTTGTCACAGGCAAGGTCACTGTATGCATATTGATGGAAGAGGAGAAAGGAAACAGACACAAAATCATTTCATTTCTTGTCATGAATGAATTCTGCCATTGTACCTCATTTTCTGTACTGGGCCTGGTGTCCAAGGACCATTATCAAGGTGTCTTACTCCACTGTGCCCAGCTCTTACACAGCATCACCTCACCAGATGTGTGCTCACCTCAAATGTCAGTCTGCTCTGTCCAATTCTCTGGCACTTGTCTCATGGGATTTTTCCATTCACTGCACAAGAAGAGAGCGGTGAGCACAGTGGCTCAGCCTTCCATGGCTATAGAAGAGGAACTTAATTCCTTCCTGGGGACTTTTCATCAGAATCTTGGGAACATTCTGAGGTGCCTCATTAATGCACCTGGACATCCAGAATGAGCCTCCTTTTCTCATCTCTAAAATGGGTGGGCTGTCTTAGGACTCATAGGTTTTGTTCATACATAGACTTCTATTCAACCTCTCTATTGAGGTGATTTGAGCATGCTAGTATTTCTAAGTTTCCCTTGTGAAATGTAAGTTTTAATAAGAGAATCCCTTTTCTGCAGGGGCCCTCCTTTGAGCCCATTACCACTAGCCTCTGCAGACTAATTGGAGTGTGGGCTTTTCTTCAGTCCCAAAACCTCCTGAGAAGCCATGTGCAGGACACCAATTCCATGTCTACCCACAGTCTCAGAAGTCAGGCAGCAGAGAGACTGGTAGAGGTCTGTACAGGAAGCACGGTGCAGGCAGATGGGCCTCACAGCCTGAAGAAGCCTAAGGAGCTGGCCTTCTGGATAGATACCCCAGGCACAGCCTCTCCTCCTTGGACTTCTCCAGGGCTAAACTCTCTACCCTATAGGCACCAAAGGTGAGAAGCTGAGTTCTTACCTAAGCAGCCCAGTGGGAATTGGTCACCTGTGGATTCAGGTCCTGGCCCTATGCAAGGGCCTCACTCAACCCTAGTTTACAGTGCCAAACCGCTCGGGAATGAGTGGATTGAGAGCTTAGGGTCACTGAGGATGCAATGGGGGCTCCATGCCAAGCAGTTAGCTGTGGCCTTGGCCCCATGAAGACCTGCTGTAGAGGCTGTGATAATTCTGATGGATGATCTTCCATCCCACCCAGTGACCAACACTTGGTGGATGCAGTTCTGTTCATCAGAAAGGAGATTGGAGAGTCACTCCGTGACAGGAAATCTTGAGAATGGCAAATTGTCCATGGCTGTCAGACAGATAGGAAGAGCAGATCAGTGTTACCAACCCACAATCGTATATGAAGACACACTGTGTGCAAGCACGTTTCTGGGTATTAACCAAGATTCTGTAAGCAGAGCCAGGGGAACCACCGCCCTTTTGAGTTTCGATGTTTGTGGGAGGCCACAGAGTAACCCTTGGCAGCAGAACAGATATTGCTCACCTCAAAGCCATTGTTCCAGTCTCCAGGCCTCCCTAGTTGTGGGTACAAACCATGCACAAGGAGTTATACAGCGGCAAAGAGAATTGGGCACTGCATCACTGACTGAGCTAGAGACTGCAGAGACGCAGGACAGACACTGATTGATCCCTCACTTCTCAATATTCATGGAGTGGCAGCCCTGAGCCTTTGAGTGCAAAGACAGGGCAGATTGCAGTCTCTAAATTCTCCAAGTGACTTTCACTGGGGAGGGGCAGGGAGATACTGTGTCAGGATTCCCTGAAGAATGTAGATGCATGATAAAACTAAGCAAGGTCTCCCTCCCACTGAGACTTCTTTCAGCCACTAAGGGCCCCTTGGGCCCTCACTGCCCAATTATGGGTGAGTGAGGATGGGGCTGGACATTGTATCAACTGGTCAGGAGGTCCATGACCTCCTGGGAAGGTTTTGCCCAGGAGGTCCATGGAAAGTTGGCAATCTTTTCATTTCCTGCAACTACAGGGCCAGGCTCAGCCCATGCAGAAGTTGCACCTGCAGACCTTGTGCCAGCTCTACCTGCAACTCCCTTACCAGCTGTGATCCCAGAGCAAGAGCCAGTACCTGGACTCCTTTGTCCAGCAGCTGAAGTTCTGAGCCTCCTGGTGGCTCCACTAGGAGTCATCTCTGGAGCTCTAACTTTGGGCAGCTCTTGACCCACACCTGCCATTCCCCTCTCTTCCAGATTTACTTACTATTGTTTTCACAGCTACACTTATTTACCAGAGATACATTAGTGATAGAACAAATATAGGTAAAATTTAAGATTTTAGGGTTGTTTAAAATAATCAGCTTGCTGACATTCATTGCATTCTCAATATTGAGCAAATTTCCCCAAGCCCACTTCCAGAACATATTCTTCAAATGTTTACACAATGGTGTTTTCTTTCCCCTCTTGCCCCATCCCAGCCACCACTGATTGTATGTCCTCATACTTAACCTATATTGCATTTCCTACATCAATGCCATAAAGTTTTCTTTGGCCAGGAATGTTGGTAGTGACTACCTTGGGTTAGAGTTAGGTTTAGGGGTAGGTTAGACTTAGGGTTAGGGTTGGACTAAGCTCCCAATTATTGCATCATTATCCACTGTATTTGTCATAAAGAAAGGACAATCAAGACAAAGCAGCACCTTATGCTGGCAATATCGTGGCCCTGAGCTGTGTGCTCAATGCACAAAACTTTGAGAGCAGTCACTAGTGGTTGGATTGCACCACTGTGCAAAATATAGGGCCCAATATGCACTCTGTGCACCACATGTGCCCTGGTCCTAACACCAACATAATCAGTATACACTGTAAATATATAGTAAGAAAAAATATACAGTTATCTGTAAACAAAACACAAAGCAAGAAAATACACTTCTGACATGTGGGGAAAAAAAGAGCTACTAATGAAAAATCTCACACAGGAAATACATGCTCTCCTTGGCCAGCAATGTTTCCTTTGTGCAAATGCAAATCTGTAGAACAAAGCATCAGCTGTCCTCAGTCTACGTCCTTGCTAATGGAATTTTTGTGGCTAATCCTCCTATCATAGGAACACGCACTTTTATACTTTTCTCTATGCACAACCTAACAGAGACACATAGAGGACTCACTGTGTGCTGGGTACCAGAGCTCTCCAGATGCAGATCACACTTGGTGAGACAATAAAACTCACACTGCCAATAGCTGGTGATGACTAAGTCATGGAAAGAAGGTGAAAACCAAACACAGGCAAATCTTCTGCAGGAACACTCAGTCTGGCTCCCAAGTCCTGTATTTGTAACTCTGCTTAGACCCCTGATTTCTATCAAAGTGATCAAAACTGCTGTCTCCTCTCTGGCCTCAGGATACAGGCTCAGAAGTGGGTGTAACAGGGACAGCTGGAGGTGCCCTGGCACCTCTGCAACTGCTGTCTTGGAGAAAGACTCTTGTCTTCCTCCACCTTCCTCCCTTGCCTCTCTCACTACATTTCGAAGGCTGAGCTGCTGCCCAGCAGTCTGGGTGGAGATGCTCAGCAGGGCCTTCAACATAGTTTTATCAGCATAGTTTTATATGTGACATACTATGTCACATACACACAGCTTTCCAGTAAATGGTCTTGAGATAGAAAGATGTAGTAAAAAGTGACAGCTAACTGGAATGAACCCTGCTTTATACACAAAGGCCCCATATCAATGTGGTGGGGGAGGAAATATATTAGGTTCTTGCCCCCCTCCATGGCCACTCAAAACTCAGCTGCCCCATTGCTGATCACACAGATTCCTGCCCTACCCCACCACACTAGGCTAAATCCTCACCCACACCAAGACCAGAAATCTAGGTGTTTGCTTCTGGAGCCAATAGGCAGGAAAGTGGGAACACAGTGGTGCCTGGCAACTAGATGGCCAAACAGAAAAAGAGATGACAGTGGCCATAACCATCTTACCTGAGGGTCAGTCACTGATACAGAGGCATGTTATGCACAGGTGAGCCTTGGTCCATCTCCTTTCCAGGTACTCTCTACTCTTGAAGGACCCAGAGACATACAAATAGCAGGGTGATGACACTATTATGCCTTTATAACACATTCATTTGGTTTGGGACAGAACAGAGATGGATGGTAACAGTTGGGAAGAATTTATCCCCAGACACTGTTGAGCTGGGGCACCCTTATTTCCCTTCCTTCCAATGTGTGGTCCAGATCTCAGGGCCCTGCTTCTATGTGTGGTGCACATAGCCTTTGTTCCCTAGCCAGATCCAATTCTGCCCATCCCGCAGGAGCCATTTCAAAGTTACTGTTTCTACTTGGATTGTGCCAGACAGAAGCATCTGCATTTGTCTCCCCACATATCCAGATATTCATGCATCACATGGTAACCCACAGATTAAGTCAGCTCCTTAGATGCTCCACAGATAGGGATTTCCAGACTGACCTTGAGACCTCAATTCTGAGCACCATGTTCTGAGGAGAACTTCTAGAGCTGGGAGCTAAAATTAGGGGCTCTTCAGTCATAAGCCCTGGAACAAGTGCAACACAGGCTGGACCCAGCTTGCTCTATGTGATAACCAATCAGCCATACTTTTGGGAACAGGATTCTCTCTCAGACAGAATGGGATGGGAGGGGCACAAAACAGCCCCTAGGCCAGCCAGCTTTATACTTTTAGGAGGAGAATGGAATATAGCAGGAGGAGGGAGGGGTGCCTGAGGAATGAGGGAATGGAAGATGGAATAACAGTAGAAAAAGGCCCTGAGTTACTCATTGAGGGACACCTGATTTTGTTACCTACCATACCTTTTTTTTTCAATTGTTTATCGGTACCAAGTATCGAACTCAGGACCACACACTTGCAAGGCAGGTGCTTATGCTGCTGAGCTAAATCCCAAGCCTCCATCCACCATACCTTTTGGGTGACAGCAGACAACAGTGACACTTGACTTTGGGCAGCTACACATACACTGCCTCCTCCTGTGATTCCATTCAAAGGTCCAGGGAAGATTGGAGTGGGCAGTGGGGGCCCTGTGTAGACAAAGGTTGGTAGCGGAATGACAAAGACAGTGTGAGAGGATGTCCTGGGCATGTGGTAGTGGTACACACTCTGTGTTGCTCAACATGGCTACTTGACACAGCCAGGGTCCAAATGCCTCCCTGACCCAACACCCTCAGGCATGGATCTCCATAGCTCATTCAAGAGTGCCACCCTGGGGTCCACACACATCAGAGAAGGGCGGCCCAAATCTATGGGCACCATAGCACCTGCTCCTGCCCTTGTTTTGTGCTCTCCCTCATGGCACTCAGCTACAACATGATGCCACATGTTAAGAACAGATGGCTTGAAGAGTACTTGGTGGGAGTCATGTTCAGCAGGGTTTGTGCTGGGGAAGGGATCTCCCTGCCAGCATTAGTGCTGTGCCTGGTTTTAACACATCATGACACATAGGAAAAGTGAGTCCGCATGGGTTCAGGGATCAAGGGAGGCTAAGATATGCTGGTAAGTAGCTCCACTCTGTGAGAGTGGGGCCAACAGAAACTATTGTCCTCAGCCTCCAGCCTGGGACTGACTCACCTCAGACCATGGTCCAGGCAGTCTGTTCAAGAACTACATGTCTGCTGCTTGGGGAGCTGCGTTCCAGGTCCACGTCAGAACATTTGAGACCTTTCATGCCCTGTGGGGTACAGAAGAGGAATGGAAGTGGGGAAAATGTCCATCACAGGGCTTAGGAAGTTATCACCATGGCACAGGTATATAACTTGTTGTCCTTTCTAAAGCTGTACCCCAACAGAGATTTTGGCTTTAGGATATGATGCATCACTTGGAACAAGGCACAGAGACTTTAGTTTTGTGGGGCATTAAAGCGCCCTGTGTCTGCGGCATGAAATTTTCTCAGAGTTTGGGAGGTGAATTGGTTATTTTAGTGGGTAAGATCCCCAGAGAGAAGAAACCACATGGAGCCAACATTAGCAACAGCAGTAAGCAAGCATCTTTATTATCCAGCCTGTATATGTCAGCCGTCATCAAGCATTACATTCTTGCATAGTGTCACAAGCCTGAGCACATCCATGGCTGTCTATGTTCACTCATGCTTATATAACTATGTCCATGGTGTGCACATGCTAATCGGTTGGGTCAGATCCCATAGGTCCTCATACCTTTTGGTGTTGAAGCAGTGTGCAGTGGTTTCTCACATTCCATCACCTCAAAGATCAGGGAAAATGTGTTTATTGTAAGTGACCTATAGGGTGGACTCATGCACACAAAGACCATGACAACAATAAATGTAAAGTAAAGTACCACTAATCATGCCACAGTGCAGCTTATGGCCACCCAGAGCCAGGTGGATCCCAAGGATTCCCACCACTGCATGAGCAGGTCCTGCTGCAAGGCATCAAGGACACAAAACTCTATGTCCATTTCTTTTAAATTTTTTAAATTTAAAGATAGAAAATAAAATTAAAAGAAACAAAATACAAAAAAGCAAAAAAGTATAGAATATAGAATTCAAAAAATTAATACCTAAAATTATTAGTTGATACATTATATATTCTCATCTTAAAAACAGTTGTTAAATATACAAAAACAAAGCATAAAAAGTCACTAAATACTGAAACATTGATGGGCAAACCCTTCCTTTCAGTGATCTAACAGAAATTTAGTAATATTGTCATCTATCTTTCATACTATACATATCATTATATCATTTAGAGCCCGTTTCTTTGCTTTTGCTTTTACAATATACACTGTACTTTTTTGGATCCCAATTCTTTGTCAGTTTTTTTTTATTATTTTTTACACTAGAGAGACAATGAGAGAGGATATTCTCAAGTTACTTTCATTTACTTATAAAGGCCTCAAATCATCCTGTTCTATAGCTGAGTAGTATTCCATTGTGAAAAAATACAATTTTTTCATCCACTTGTAGTTGATGGCATTTTGTTGTTTCCAAGATTTAGCTATCACAACTCTGTTGCACATATCATTGCACACATATCACTGTGAAATATTTTTTTTCAAATTTCTGGGAAAATACCCAGAAGGGGAATAGCTGGATTGAATGGAACATCCAATCTTAGTTTTTTGAGGAATTTCCACACTAATTTGCACAGTGCTTTTATCAGTCTGCATTCCCACCAACAGTGGACAAGTGTTCCTTTTCCCCTTCATGCTGCCAAAATTTGTTTCAGTTGATTTCTTGATGTCAGTCATTCTTTCCAGAATAAGATAAAATCACAGTGCTGTCTTAATTTGCATTTATCAAATCACCAATGATGGTGAACATTTCTTTATGCATTTATTTGCCATTTGTATATCTTCATCTGAGAACTGTGTACTTACCTCTGATGCCCATTTTTGGAAATGGTCTTTGAATTTGGGGGCTTGACATTTTTCAATTCTTTATATGTTCTGCATACAAGTCCTTTGTCATCTTTCCAGATTGTTTCTGACTCTGTGGGGATTTTTCACTTTATTTGATTTCTGTTTACGTACAAAAAATTTTAGTAATATGAGATCCCAGTTGTTGATTCTTTGAAGTATTTTCCATGTGGTTGTGTTTTATTAATGAATTCTCTGCCTACTCCTATGTCTCCAAGATTTCTATCTACCATGTCTTCCAGTAGAGTTTTGTTTCTTTTTCAATATTAAGATCCTTGAACCACTTTGACTTTAGTTTACTGTATGGTGATAGGTATGGGTCTAGTTTCAGTCTTTAGCATGTAATGTCAATTTTTCTAACACCATTTTTTAAAGAGGCTATCCTTTTCCAGTGAACATTTTTAGCCCCTTTGACAAATTTAAGGTGATTCTGTGTCTTTGTAGTAGAGTTTTCATCTTCTAATCGGTTCTATTGATCCTCAGGTCTATTTCTTTGCCAGTACCATACTGATTTTATTATTGTGGCTTTGTAGTATAGTTTCAAGTCAGGAACTGAGATGAGTCTTGTCTTTCTGTTGTTGCCCAGAAATGTTTTTGTTATTCTTCTGGTAACAGATGAATTTCAGAATTATTTTCTTTAGATATGAACGTATGTTAATGATATTTTGATTGGGATTGCATTGAAATGTATAACAGTTTTGGAAGTATGGCCATTTTCACAATATTGGCTCTTCCTAACCAAGAGCAAGAAATATCCTTCCATTTTCCAATTTCCTCTTGAATCGCCATTTTCAGAGTTGTATAATTTTCAGTATATAGGTGTTTTACAATTTTAGTTAGGTTGATTCCTAAGTACTTCATTTTTTTAGATGCTATTGTGAAAGCTGATATTTCATAATTTTTCTCTCATGGAGTTTTTTGTTTGTGTACAGGGATGTTATTGATTTGTGAGTGTTGACTTTCTCTCCAGCTATGCTGCTGAATTTGTTTGTTGCCTCTAGTAGTCTTTCAATTGAGATTTTGGGGTCTTCTATGTAGAGTATCATGTTGTCATGATAATGATAATAATGATAATTTAACTTCTTTCCCTATTTTTATTCCTTTTATTTCTCCCTCTTGTCTGATTGCTCTGGCTAATATTTCCAGAACTCTATTGACTAGGAGTGGTAGTGGACATCAGTGTCTTATTCCTGTTTTTAGTGTGAAGGCTTTCAGTTTTTGTCTATTTAGTATAACATTGGCTGTAGGTTTTCAATAAATGGTCTTTAGACTTTGAGGTACATAGCGTCTATTCTGAGTTACTGTAGGGTTTTTATCATGAACAGGTATTGTATGTTATCAATAGCTTTTTCTGCATGCATTGTAATGATTAGGCGATTTTTATTTTTGGCTCTGTTGATGTGGTGTATCACATTCATTGATTTGTGCATATTGAACCATCCCTGTATTCCTGGAATAAATCCTACTTGTTTATGTTGTATAATCTTCTTGATGATTTGCTGCATTCTATTTGCCTATATTGTATCGAGAATCTTTGCATCATTGTACATTAGTGAAATTAGTCTATAGTTCTGCTATTTAGTTTGATCTCTCTCTGGTTTTGGAATCATAATGACACTTGGTTCTAAGAATGAATTAGGGAGAACTAATTCTCTTTCAATTTCATTAAAGAGTTTAAGGAGTGTTGCAGTCAGATCTCTGAATTTCTTATGGAATTCATCCCTGAATCCAGCAGGATCCGGGCTTTCATTGTTGGTAAGTTTTTAATCACATTTTTGATTAATGTAGCCGATATCTGGTTACTCAAAATTGTTATATATTTTGATTGAGCATTGGTAGTTCATATCTCTACAAATCTATTTCCTCTGCTTTGCACCGTATGTGAGTAGAGATTTTCAAGGTAGGTGTTCATGATGTTTTGAATTTCCATGGGATCTACAGTAATTTTTCTCTTTTCACTCCATATTGTGTGGATTTTTTTTTCTTGATAAGCTTGGCTAGAGGTTTATCAATTTTATTTTCTCAAAAAAACAGCTCTTTGATTCATTAATTCTTTGTAAATATTTTGGTTTCAATTTCATGAAGTTCTGCTCTAATCTTTATAATTTCCACTCTTCTATGAACTTTGGGTTTGACTTGCTCTTCCTTTTCTAGAAGCTTGAGATATAGCATTAGGTTTTTTATCTGTGTTCATTCCATTTTCTTGATGTGACTTCTTATTACTATATATTTCCCACTTAGAACTGCTTTCATTGTGTCCCATAGATTGTGGTATGTTGTTTCTGCATTTTCATTGTATTATAGACGTTGTTTTATTTCTTCTTTAATTTCATCTGTAACCCACTGGTTGTTCAGGATTGTTATTTAATTTCCATGTATTTATGCAGGCTTTTCCAGGATTTTTGCCATTGATTTCCAATTTTAGTGCAATATGGTCCCATAAAATGCATGAGAAAATTTCTCTCCATTTGCATTTACTTAAAACTGTTTTATGGGATGATATATGGTCTATTTTGTAGAATATCCCATGTGCAGCTGAGAAGAAAGTATGTTCTGATATGGTTGGGTGGAATACTATGTAAACATCCACTAAGTCTATCCATGCACAGGTATCATTTAGTTATGTCATTTCTTTGCTGACTTTTTGTCTAAGTTCATCTATCTCTTTGTGACAGTGGGTTGCTAAGGTGTCCTATTACAATTCTGTTCTTGTGTGTTTAGCTTTTAATGCCCATTAGTATTTGTCTAACATAGTTGGGTCCTCCTGTATTTGGTGCATATATATTTATAATTGTTAGTTCTTCCTCTTGTAGTTATCCATGTAAAAGTTTGTAGTGGCCTTCATATCTCTTTTAATCATTTTATGTTTGAACTTCACATTGTCTGCAAACTGAATAGCTACCCTGCTCTTTCCTGGGTTCCTGGTTAATGGAAACTCTTTTCCATGCTGTGACTTTTAATCTGAGTTTCTTTTTGAGTCAGATGTGTTTCTTCTATAAAACATACTCCTTGATCCTATTTGTTGATGCATTCTGTCAACCTGTTTCTTTTGATAGGTGAGTTGAGTCCATTTACATTTATGGATATCACTAATATATACTGCTTTGACTATGCCATATTGTGTTCCTATTGTTGGTTTCCTGATTTTCTCCATTATTTAGTATTTTGTCCAGAATGGTGGTTTCTTTCTGTTGTTCTGGAGATTGTGGTCATGTTTACTGCTATCTTGCATATCTTTCAGTATTTTTTCTAGGGTTGGTTTGATGGACATGAATTGATTCAGTTGTACTTTGTCAT